CCCAGCCTAGGGCCTATTCTCCATCTAAAACCTCGCCCCTTCCCAGGGCCCGCCCCCACAGGCACCGGCTGCTCACCCGACAGGTGGGACCCCTGGTGGCGAGGGAGGCGGCGCACGCAGCAGCAGAGGCCCAAAGGCAACGCCGAGGGCTCGCAAAGCGGAACGGGGGGCAGGGGCGCGGCGGGCCACCCGGCCCAGGTGCTGGAGCAGGAAGCGCAGCGTGAGCGCGTGGTGCAGTGGCAGCGTTGGGGGCTCCAGCGTTGGCCCCACAGGCCCCGCTGCCTCTGCGGACAGAAGGCCAGGCAGGGTGAGCCGAACTTTTCCGCTCCGAACCGTCCGTACCCAGAGTTCCCCACCAGGCTTACCCCGCAGGGCACAGCAGGCCTCCGCAGCGGCCTCCAGCGTCACGAGGGGCGCAGGCAGCGCCAGAAGGAAGCCCTTGATGCCATCAGCCAGGGCTGCCGAGTCCCACTGCTCTAGGTCGCTCAGGGACCAGTCTGTGGGTGCAGGGGGGCGGTGTCAGTGGGCTGTTGGGGTCGACTCCCCGACCCCCCACCCAGAAGCACCCCTTCACCTGTGCACGGGGGTGGCAGCTCAGGCCTGTAGAGAGATTCGCTGTCCAGCCCTGGAGGGGGAGGAGCAAGACAGCTGTCAAATGCTGCCCTGACCCCATGGGGGGCGGGAGTGGCTACTCAACCTCCGAGAGCAGGGGGAGGGGAGGCAGGTGGGGGCAGAGGACACAGCACATGCAATGGCAGGTCTACAGTCCCATCTTTCCTGGGAGTCATTCCTTCCCCAGTTCAACACCAAGGCCCAGAGTATCTGGGCTCAGCCTTCTCCCATGCAGAGTGAGCCCAGCAGCCCTGTTAAGGGATGAGTTGCCCATCACCAGCAGTAAGGAAACAGAATCCAGGGGTTGCAGCCAGGTCAAGGCTCACCTGTCCGCTCAATGGCCTCCACAAGCTTCACCAACAGTGGGGGAGCCACATCAGGTGGGGAGAACTGCTCAGGTAGGTCAGGTAGTGTGAGGCCTGGCAGGAGGGGATAGCATGTTGGCAGGGTCCCTGGAAGGACCATAGCCCCGTTCTTGGCCTGCTGTATCTCAGGTGGGGCAGCTCCAGGCAGGGCCCAGCTCAGGCAAGGCATGGCTTCTGGACAACCACCCTGGGGAAGCCAGAGGCCCTGTGGCTGGGGGTGGGAGGGCCAAGTTAGTGTGAAACAATTTTCTGGGTCAAGATATCAGTCACACAACTTTAGAGACCAGGTGTAGTAGGTTGATTAGTGTACCCCCCAAGATGATGTCCACATCCTAATCACTGGTACCTGTAACTGTGACCTTATTTGGAGATATAATTAAGGGAAGGGTTTTTTTTTCATTCCTCACCCAGGATATTTTTCCATTGCTTTTCAGAAAGAGTAGACGGGAGAAAGAAACATTGATGTGCGAGACACATCGATTGGCTGCCTCCTGAACGCACCCTGATCAGGGCTGGGGATTGAGCCTGCAACTGAGGCACATGCCCTTCCTTGGCTGGAGTCGAACCTGGGAACCTTTAGTCCACTGGCCAAAGCTCTAATTACTGACCCAAACCGGCTAGGGCAAGGGAAGGATTTTGAGATGAGATTATCTTGGGTTTAGAGCCCTAAATGCAATGACGGGTATGTATAAGAAGAGAAGCCATGTACCCTGGCTGGTGTGCTCAGTTAGTTGGAGCATTGACTAGAAGGTTGTGGGTTCTATTCCCCATCAGGGCACATACTTAGGTTGTGGGTTCAATCCCAGTCGGCATGCATGGGAGGCAGCCGATCACTGTGATGTTTCTCTATCCTTTCCTCCCTCTCTAGAATAAATTTTTTTGAAAAAGAAGAGAAGCCCTGCTGGGCGTGGCTCAGTGGTTGAGCATCAACCTAGGATCCAGGAAATCGAGGTTTGATTCCCAGTCAGAGCAGATGCCTGGGTTGCGGGCTCGATCCCCAGTTGGGGGCGTGCAGGAGGCAGCCGATCAATGACTCTCTCATCATTGATGTTTCTATCTCTCTCCCTCTCCCTTCCTCTCTCTGAAATCAATAAAGATATATTAAAAAATAAAATAATTAAAAAAGAAGAGAAGCTATGTTACGACAGAGGCAGAGATTGGGGTGATGCAGCTACAAGCTAAGGATGTTTGGAGCCACCAGAAGCTGGAAGAGGCAGAAAGGATCCTCCCCTAGACGCTCTAGAGGGAGCGTGGCCCTGCTGACACTTGTTCTTGGACTTCTGGCTTCCAGAACCGTGAGAAAATACAGTCCTGTGGATTGAAGCCACCTGGTTTGTAGGAGTTTGTTACAGCGGCCCCAGGAAACTCATACAGCAGGTTTCAGCCCCTGCCACTGCTCACTGTACAACCTCTGGCACAGGAACCACATTCTCTGTGCCTCAGTTTCCTCAACTGAGAAACTGGTGTTCTCTCTTCCTTCTTAGTGGGAAGAACAAAGTAGTTGACAAAGAATAAAAAGAAAATATCCCCGTCTAGGTCAGGACACCTCACTCTGAAAACATTCTTCTACTTTCTCAATCATTTTGCCTTGAAAAAGTTATCTACCCCCGCTTTTTTAAATCTCTACCAGAGGGTGCCAGGGGCCTCTCTGGCCCAGCCCCTTCAGTCTCTGAGCTCCCCAGGGGCCCTTAGTATTCAGCAGCTCTGCCTGCATGGACACCATTTGATGCGGTTCTGGCCCTAGGGCGGAAAGCCCTGGCACACAACAGGGGCAAGCTGGGGCCTGCAGGGCCTCCCTGAGTGATGGGCCAGGTGGTGCCTCAAGCTGGAGAAAGGCCCAGCTACAGTGAAAAAGCCAAAAAAAAAAAAAAAAAAAAAAGTGAAAGAACAAGGAGAGAGAAGGTAGGTAAAGCCCCAGTTCTTGGGGCTGCCATGCTTCTGAAACTTGACTCTGAAACTCGTCTGTGACCAGTTTGTGAAATGGGGAGGGAGGTTCCATCAGAACAGCCGTAACCCCATTTTATGGATGAGGACCTAAGGCTAAGAGAGGGAGCAACCTCACTGTGGGTGCACAGCCCAAGTGACATTGGGGTGCTGCACTCAGCACCCTGCATGGGGTGGAATGGAGGAAACAAAGGCAGACACAGCATGTTCCCCGGTGGTGGTGGTGGTCCAAGGATCCCGGTGGGGCGGAGCCTGAAGGCACAAAGAGATCAGTCCTCCCTGTTTCCAGATGAGGAAACTGAGGCCTAGAGAGGCGCCTCCCCCCACATCACCCAGCCTGGAAGATTTGGAGGGCAGGGCTGCCGCCCTGAGTGGGGATGTGTGTGGAGGCTGGACCTGGGCCAGGCAGAGGAGGGAGGCGGCTGTTACCAGGGAGAGAAACAGATTCTGGCTGAGAGCCCGGATGGGGCCACCTCCTGCTCTTCCAGGCCAACACAGGATGGAGGCCCAGGCCCTGGAGAGACACCAGATGCTGCAAGTCCCAAGCTAGCACCACACTGCCTTGGTGCCCCTATTCTACCCCATGGTGTGGGACTCTGTGGGCATCAGTGTCCCTATGGCACAAAACCAGACAGGTAATCGGTTGGGGCCATGGTGCATCCCAGGACATTCACCTTCACTGGGTGGCCCTGAAGGAGTGGTTTGACCCCCTGGCACCTCGGTCTCCCCATCTGTACATGGGCCTCATGGGGTTGCTGTGTTAGAGCAGGCCACACTGGGCACTCAGCACTCATCAATCTCTTTCCCACAACCTGAGCCTTGATTTCCCTGGAAGAACCCACCCCCCTGCCCACCATACAGCAATTTCAATAAATACTCAGTGTCCTTGAGTCTCTACTCCCAGCACACCCTTTGGAAGGGGGGATGGCAGAGAGTCTTTGGGGAGGGTGTGGGGCCCTCACACTGCACCATGCTGCATGGCCTCGAATGAGTGGCCCACCCTTTCTGGGCTTCATGGCTCCCTTCGTTTTGGAAATGAGGTAAAATCAGGATAACAAAAGGGGTGCCTCAAGGGACCCTGGCTGCAAACCACAGAAGGAAGCTAAATTGAGCCTCTGAATTCTACTAAAAACTCCCCACTGTCTTCAAAATTTATCCCATGATGTCCCTGAAGCACGGCCCGTGTTGGCCTCCCCTTTCTCATTCCATCCTGCCATGCTAGCTGTTCCCTGAAAATATCACATTCCCACCTCATGAGTTCTACCCTGTTAGGCCCACTGCATAGAGCTCTTCACCCCCAGCTGCTTCCTTACAGCCTCTGTCAGCTAATCACATTCTTGTCACTTCTTGAACCAGGCCCATGCAGGGCCTGGGCTGTGTCTACCCATGTTTCCAATTCTGTGAAGTGCATCCAGTCCTTGAAGCAGCTCAGTCAACACTTGTCAACTAACTAAATGTCCCTATTCCCCATCCCCTGGAAGAGGCACCATTGCCTCACTGAAAAGAGGAAGAAACTGAGGGTCTAAGGGGACCCTCCCCCCACACCCGACAGAGTCCCTGCCTGGAGCTCACCTGGCTCAGGGGGCCCCTCTCGGGGCCTGGCAGGCAGTGGGCGGGGGCCACGGGGGCGAGGGCCAGGCCGGGTGAGGGCCACAGGCCCCAGGAACTCGACGTAGGTACCAGGGAAGTCACCGCGCTGCCGAGTACGCTCATTGAGGCCAGGCATCCAGCCCACGTTCTGTGGGCAGCGCTCGCTGCCCTCGGCCACACCCAGCACCTGCAGGGCAGCCCGGCTCACCACCAGCACGTCGCCAGGCAGCAGCTCCAGGTCCTCTGGCCGCTCCCGGCGGAAAGGGTACAGTGCACGGTATTGGAAGCCCTCAGCGCCAGCCATGGTGGGAAGGGCGGGGTCTGTATGGTGAGGTGGCTGTTCAGGGCCCCAGTGGCCCCATCAGGTGGGGTGGGGGCCAGGTGGGTCCACTGGATCGGCTTGAGGGGCTCAGACCTCTGTCTCCAGAAGTTACAGATGACTACAGTGGATGCTCATGCCTTGCTTCCTGTCATTATTCCACAACCCTTACAAGGGTCACTTGGTGCTCCATCCATCACTGGTCAACTGGTGGGAGGGGATCAGCAGTGTGTTCTCTGGTCACTCAGTTGCTGCCCCCTCAATCCGAAGGGGCTGGCTGGGCCAGGCTACTCACTCCCTCACGTGGTAGGCCATCGGCGCCCGAGGCTGGCGGCTCTTCCGGCTGCGCCAGACGAGGGGGCCGAAGGCACAGGCTGTCACCATGCTCGGCAGGGTCGGCAGGGGATGCTGACCTAGGGGGAGAGAGGCAAGGCAGGGGCAAGGCAGAGTAAGCCAGGTGGGACTTCTCCCACCCCAACTTAGAGACAGGCCCAAATCCCAGGTTGGAATCCTCTGACTCACTTGGTAACCTTCGGATATTTCCTGTACTTCTCTGGGTCTCAGTTTCCCCAGCTGTAAAGTGGGTGCAATAATAGTCGTTCCTTAGGGTACCTGCCCCAGACGTACTGCATGCTGGGTAAACAAGCTCTGTTAGAGATGGGAAAACTGAGGCTCAGGGCAAGGAGGTCTTTGTCCCACCAGGAAGCCACCACTCAAAACCTCAGATACGATCTGCCTAACTTCAGGGTCCAGGATGGATGAGTGGAGGTAGCAGCCACATGGCCAGATAGTTAGACTCAGAGCAGGTAGGGCTCAGGGAGCTGTGGGAGCCCTGAGATGGAGTTGGGCCAGCTGAGCACAGGAGGCTGCAGGGGCACAAAGGGGTAAGAGAGGAGGTCCTGGCAGAGTACCTCCCCGTGCCCCACCTCTCCCATGTGCAAGCAAAGGGATCTCTGATCTCTGCAAGGGAGGGGTGAACAGGAGTTATGGCTGACTCAGTGCAGGGCCCCCAGTAGGTGCTCAAAACATAAGAGGGTCAGTGGGAGGCTGGGAGGAACTTAACCCCAGGGTGATGGATGGATGGCAGGAGGGCTTCGCAGCTGCCAATGGGGAAGCTGCTGTTTGCAGGGTGATGACCACGTTCCAGGAGCCCCCAGTCTCGGGGCGACAGAGCTCAGCAAACACATATTCTCAGCCTCAGCTCTGCAGGTTCAGAGAGGCTGAGGGGGTGCTTTTCTGGAGGGTAGGTCCTCACTAAAGACAGAAGGGGACACTGACCACATGCAAAGGCTTGAAAGTGGTAAGTTGCTTGGGAAGAGTTCAGTGTGGCTCTAAGAAAGTCACCCACCATACAGGGCCTCTTCCCGACAGGGGGTTAGAAGGTTGGAGCATTACACCACTACCACCACCACCACCACCACGGAGAGCCCTAGAAGGTGTCCAAGCAGGGAGCAGAGGCTTCACATTCCGGGGCGCCCCAACTTACCCGCTCCCTGGCCCCTGTAACCCCATTTCTACAGGTGGGGAAACAGGTCCAGAGAGGGGACGTCTAGTAAACCGCCTGGATTCACTTGCCTGCACTCGTTTGCACACGCCCTGTGTGCACACCGGGGACTTAACGCTCCCCGAATCCAAGAGGTGGGGTAGTAGAGCCAGGCCTGGCAGGGGCTCCCCAGCTGGACGCAGGGCCTGCGCGCTCATGCGTATTCAGACGCGCACGCAAGCCTGCGTGGACCCCCGGAAATGGAGCCGAGCCCCGACCCTCGTACCTCACTGTGCTCACACAATGCCTGGAGCCCCTCACTTCTACTTGACGCCCCACTCCCAGCAGGGCCTCCCTCCATTGCGGGCCAAGACTCCAGCCCCCTATCTTTGCCTGGAGGCCCCCCGATCCGCCCCCACCGTGTGGGGTGGCTGCACGGCTGCCAGGTCGAGTCTGAGGCCTCCAGCTTTCTGTGGTCCCCCCAGGTCCCACGGGCCCACACTCTGCCTAGGCGCCCCGCATTTGCACGCATCCCCAGCCCCGCCTGCCACGCCGGCCGGCCGACTTACTGGTCGTGGCTGCTAACTCCGACGCCGCGGAGGCCGTAACGCAGAGCCTAGCCAGACCCGTGGCTCGACCACTGTCGCCGTCAGCGCCGCCGCGGGATCCCCGCCTCCGTCGCCTAGGTTCCGAACGGCCTGGCCCACCCCCGGCGGAAATGGCCGAGCATATTCTGGTCAGGCGGGAGAAGGGAGGCCAAGGAGGAGCCTGGAGACGGCTGAGTGCTCCCGGAAAGAGCCGAACGTACTCCCGCGGGACTGGAGAAGGGAAGGTACCCCGAGATGTCAATCATTTCCGGAAATAACCGAATGCAATCGGGTCAAATGAGTGATCCCGAGGTTAGTTTCGGCTAGACTCGGCTGGGTTTGGAGACACCCGAGCGATTCTGGATATAGTCGAGCGCAATTGGGTCATGCGAGTGATCCCGAGACAGGGATCAGTTGGGCTCGCCTGAGCTTAGAAATGCCCGAGTGATCCCGGAAATGGCCGAGCATAATCGGGTCAGATGAGCGCTTCTGAGGCTGAGTTCGGCTGTGCTCTGCTGGGCTCAACTGAGTTTAGAGACGCCCGAGCGACTCCGGAGTTGGCCGAGCGTGCTCCAGTAGGACTGGCGAACAGAGGCTGAGTCCCGAGACTCGGAATTTCTAGAAAGAACCGAGCGTGCACTCAGTCCCAAAAGAGGCTCTAGGAATGCAGAGCCAGAGACGGCCAACCAATTTCCGGAAATTGCCGAATGCTCTGCTCCAGAGAGCGAGTGATGGGGCCCCGAGTTCAGGAAACAGGAGCCGGCGGAGCGGGGAAGAGGATACCACCAAAAGCTGTGAACCGAGGAGCCGGGGGCTGAAGGCGTTCCCATAGCAGCCCCGCGTCTGGAAGCCCCTGAACTAACTCCAGCCCGGCCAGCGCGAGAATACGCCCAACACGGGACCTAAAGCGGACGGCTGTTTCTGGAAATAGCCGAAGACACTCGGGATCGGGGGCGTGGCCAAAGGTTTCTGACGCTGAGGAGAGCTCCGTGAGTAAGCGGACGCACTCGGGCTGAGCTGGGTTCGGGTGGAGATCGGGGTAATTTTAGGGCACTGCCCAAGCAAGTATAAAAAGGACACAACAATGGTTTATTTATTAACGGAGCTCAGGGCCCAAGACGGGTGTCTGAAAGAAATTTTTAAGGGCAGAGCCCAGGATGGGTACTCAACAGGGAGAGGGCAGCAGGAGGCCAGGATCAGAGAAGCCATCAGGGAGAATCTCAGTGAACTCCTATGCAGCATTCAAAACCCACTTCAAGTGACTTTGAGCCAAGAGACTGTTTTCACCTTACCCCTGTCCCACTCTTCCCTTATTCTTTTTTGGCCCTTGGTCACAAATAGACAGACATTGGACCTTCTCTTTGTCAATGTGGGTTTTATTCACTGTCAGCTCCATGATGGAAGAAAGAAGCAAGTCATGCATAGCTTCGGTCTAGCGCCAACACTAGGCAGTGCTGGGGGAGGGGCAGGTGAACGCAGAGCAGGCTGCAGTATCTGGAAAATGCCTGAAACCATGTGGGGCACAGCGATCTTGCCAGCTACCTCCAAATGGGAAACCGAGGCTCTGAGATGCCCCTATGGGTCACACAGCATAAAGGGTTGGCTGGAGTCAGCTGTATCTGACATCAGCCTCTGCATTCAAGCTCCCTTGCTGACAAGGCCCACAGCAAGGCCTGGCTGCCTGACTCACCAGGCAATTGTGGGACCAGTCTCTGTCCCACATCAGGACTCAGTTATTTGTCTGTAAATAGGGTGATGACACCAGCTCCAGCCTTCTTAAGACTGGCTGAGGGACAAGCCATGAGTAAAAGAGCTTGGCACATAATAGGCGCTTAATAAAGTTATTGGGATCAGTTTTGTAAACACGAGGAAACTCAGGCACAGAGTGGAGCAGCCATTTTCCCAGAGCCAAACAGTGAAGCCAAGATTCAAACTCAGACTTCACTGCCCCCCATTTGGGTTTTCTACTTGATTTCAATCCAGAGAGGCTCTGACACATTGAGGCTCTGACACATTCAGGGGGTGTTTCAGACACATCATGTTCTAGTGCTAACCCTGATGGGCATCAAACATGTGAAATCTTGTCCAGGGTGGGCATTCTTTTGCCCTGGCAGTGCCCTTTGAGGCCTCTGCCTCCTGGGGCATTAGTGTCCCCCAGTGGAGTGGATGATCCCTCTGCCTTGATCTGGTGAACTCCTACTCATCAATTAAAGCCCTAGTTCCCACATCCCCTAAGTCCAAAGGACTGGAGGCAGACCCTAGCTAGGCTGCTCTACAGATGGAGGCTGTGATTGTGGGAAGCAGCCTTTAGCATCCAGACCATCATGGGGATGACTCTGTTTTGTGGTAGAGGGGAATCAATTAAACTGTCCAAGTCACATCCAAATTGGGCCCAAACAAGTGACCTGGGCCCAGACAAGTGTCCCCATCAGTGGGTTTTGGGTCAGGGATGGGATCAAGAGAAACACAAAAAACTTAAAAAATAACAAAAACAAAAACATCAAAAGTACAGAAAAACGAGAAAACACGAACACATGTGACTTGTCCAAAGTGCTTCCTTCAGAGCCCCATTGGCAGGGTCTGCAAATAGGGTCCTAGATGCAAGAGGCAGGACCCTGATGGCTCTATCTGGCTACTGTGTACAAAAAGTAATAAATTAGGTATGTTCTCCTTCCTGGGAGCATGCCTGCACCTTTTCCCCAAACGAGTTACCTTTACCTTACTCTCTCCAAGGGCCCTTCTTTTGCCTCTGCAACTTGTTCCCTGAGCCCGTTTCTTCCAAGGGCCCTTCTTTTGCCTCTGTAACTTTCTAAATAAACTTTCTCTTATACTTTGAAAAAAAAAAGTAATAAATTAGTCACAAGGGTTTGCTGCTATTTACAGTGCCACCCTCACCTCCCATTCCTGCTCTATATCCCCTGACTGATGGGCACCAAAACATGCAGGCGCTTGACTCCACCTTCCAGTAAGGAGTGTGATGGTTTCCTGCCTTCTGGGTGTCACAGACTGGTGGCTTAGTCTCCATCAGGAGTCACTTGACTGGAAAAACCTTGCATAAAAAATGCACAACTTCCAGGCCAGGGCAAGGCCAGGTGGGAGGGATCAGTCCTTCCCAGCGGGTTCTAGGGCTCCAGGCACAGCCTCAGCGCCCTCCACTGCAATCTCCGGCATCACAGCAGGCAGCCTGGTGGCCTCCTCCAGTGGTTCGTCAAAGCTCACCTCCTGCACAGCTTCCTGCTTCTTGAAAGAGTCTCGGCGCTCAGACAGGTGCAGCCTTCGCATGACCACCAGCTCGGAGTCTGGCCCACGGCTGCGACGCCCCAGCTCCCCCTCCAGCCGCTCACCTGCACCCAGCTTGTCCGCGGACTGGCCCCGGCGCAACCTTGGAGACCGGGTGGGTGCAGGCAGGGGCGAGGGGGAGCGGG